AATGGATTCAGGCAAGCGAAGCAAGGCAAGCAGCTAAGGCAGTGGTTCTCAACCTTCCTAATGCCGCGACCCTTTAATACAGTTCCTCATGTTGTGGTGACCCCCAACGATAAAGTTATTCCTAAAACCATCAAAAATATGTGTTTTCCGATGGTCTTAGGCCAGGGGTCCCCAACCTTTTGGACCTCAGGGACCACCAACTTCATAATTTTAAATTTCGCAGACCACTAATACGAATCCAGTGCCCCGCTTGCTGAAGCACCTGGACTCCCAGTACGGGATGAGGTCCTTCAGGCACTCTCCATCCTCTCTGTCTCTCTCTCTCTCTCTGTCTCCCACTCTTTCTCTCTCATTCTCTCTTTCTCTCTCTCTCATTTTCGCTTTCTCTCTCTCTCCCTCTCTTTCTTTCTCTCCCACTCTTTCTCATTCTCTCTTTCTCTCTCCCCCTCTCTCATTCTCTTTCTCTCTCCCCCTCTCTTTCTCATTCTTTCTTTCCCCCACTCTTTCCCTTTCTCTCCCCTCTTTCTCATTCTTTCTCTCTCTCTCCCACTCTTTCTCTCTCATTCTCTTTCTCCCCCCTTTCTCTCTCTCTTTCTCCCACTCTCTTTCTCTCCCCCCCACTCTCTCTCATTCTCTCTTTCTCTCTGTCCCCCTTTCTCTCCCCCCCTTTCTCTTTCTCCCTCCCGCTCTTTCTCTTTCTCTCTCTCCCACTCTTTCTCTCTCATTCTCTTTCTCTCTCCCCCTCTTTCTCTCTCTCCCCACTCTCTCCCTCTCATTCTGATTCTCTCACTCTGATTCTCTTTCATTTTCTCTCCCTCTCTCTCATTCTCTCTCTGATTCTTTGGTTCTCTTTGATTCTGTCTCTTTCTCTGTCTCTCATTCTCTCTCTCTCACTCTCTCTCTCTGATTCTCTCTGTCTCTTTCTCTCATTCTCTTTCATTCTGTCTTTCTCTCTCTTTCATTCTTTGTCTCTTTCTCTCTCTGTCTTATTCTGATTCTCTCTTTCTCTCTCATTCTCTCTCTCTCTCATCTCATGGGCCAGCCAGTGTCTTGGGGCTGAGAGGAAGTCAAGCATCTCCCTGAGAGACTGAGGGCCGGAAGAAGTGTGGGAGCGAAGCACTACTTGAACTTGTGCGGCATGAGCATTCGCCTTGGTATATTTGCGCCAGCCGATGGCCAAGGCAGCCCTCATCTGTCTGCTGAAAGTGCAGCATCAGGATTCTGCCTTGCTATATTTGCGGCGCAAGGCAGCCTTTGTTTCCTGCTGCTTGGGACTCAGAGCGGTAAATAGCGTCTGATCCGGAGAGCTGCTGGATTTTGCTCTCTAATCCGGATGCCAAATCGGCCCCCTGCAAACTCTCGTCTCTCGAGGAGCGCTCCCTGAAGCGGGGCTGGAAACTTTGGTTGGACTGCTTGAGAGGAGAGCTTGCAGGGGGGCGATCTGGTGTCTGCAATGGAGAGCGGCATCCGGCTTTTTCTCTCCGCTGTAAGAGCGCTGTAAGAACGGCAGCCCTCATCTCCTAATGTTTGGGACTCGGAGCGGTAAATGGTGACTGGTCCAGGGAGCAGCTGGATTTTGCAGTCCCAAGCATTAGGAGATGAGGGCTGCCACTCTTACAGCGCTCTTACAGCGGAGAGAAAAAGCCGGATGCCGCTCTCCATTGCAGACACCAGATCGCCCCCCTGCAAGCTCTCCTCTCTCAAGCAGTCCAACCAAAGTTTCCAGCCCCGCTTCAGGGAGCGCTCCTTGAGAGACGAGAGTTTGCAGGGGGCCGATTTGGCATCCGGATTAGAGAGCAAAATCCAGCAGCTCTCCGGATCAGACGCCATTTACCACTCTGAGTCCCAGGCAGCAGGAAACAAAGGCTGCCTTGCGCCACTCCTGACACAAATATACCAAGGCGGAATGCTGCTGCCGTACAAATGAAAGTTGTGCTTCACTCCCACAGCTTCCAGCCATCGCAAACGCCGCTTCTTCCCGCTTCTGCCGCCCCCTCCCCCACCGCCACAACAGCACCATTCATTCCGGATGGCGAGGGCTGCGCTCGTTTTTCTGTATTGCACCACCATCAGAACCCCTGTGAAAGGGTTGTTTGACCCCCCAACCACTGAGCTAAGGTAAGCAAGCCAGGAAAATGCGCTGCGCACTCCCACCCTTTGCCTGCGAGCCCGGACGCTGATCCGGACGGCTGCAGAACGAACTGGGCACCGGCTGTCATGTCTTTTCTGCTGTGCGGGGTTCGGCACCTGGGCTCCCGGGGTTTAAGCCTCTGGGCAGCCCGTGCTGCTCCAGGATGTTCGCTTCGGGCTCCTTGGAATCGCTGCCGGGCGGTTCTTCCCGTTGGGGCGATGGTGGGTGGCAGCGATCAGCGTCGATCGCTGCGCACTCCCACCCTTCGCCTGCGAGCCCAGGTGCCGATCTTCTTGGACTGCGGGAGCCACGGCGGTGCTGGCCGGGCTGGGTCTGGTGCGGTGGGCGGAGATGAAGGAGCAGCCTCGGCGGCAGCAGCAGCAGCAATCACAACGGGAAAAGCCGTGGGGAAAGGAGGATGAGGAAGATCTGGCAAGGCGGTGCGAGCACTTCATGGCTCCTCCGGTGAGCGGATTGCGAGAGCTGCGCGACTGGGGCGGAGACATGCGAAGTCGCATGGAGCTTCTCATAATGGAGACTCAGAGCCAGGTGTGCAAGGCGCTGGCCCAGGTCGACCGCGCCGCCGCTTTCACCGTGGACTGCTGGGAAAGGAAGGAAGGTGACCCGAATTCCGGGGTAGAGTGGGGACGCGTTCCTTTCTCGTGGGCCGCGCACTGCCTGGCACCTCTTGTAGGTTGGAACTAATTCAGAGTACAGCTTCCCCTCAATGTTGCCGGCGCTCCCAAAGTGTCATCGGTCAGCGCCAGCAACTCAGATTCGGGTACCCGGCGTATAAGACGACCCCCGACTTTTGAGATGATTTTCCTGGGTTAAAAAGTCGTCTTATACGCCGGAAAATACGGTATCTAATTGGACTAGGCCAGATATTGCATTACCACTCAATTTATTATCAAGGCACGTTAGCAAACCAACAATGTATCACTGGGAAGCTGTCAAAAGAATTTTAAGATATCTGAAAAGTACATTAGACTTTTGCCTAGTATTAGAACCTAGTGATAATAAAGAACCAAAACTTACATGTTACGCAGATGCGGATTGGGCTGGAGATATATCATGCAGAAAAAGTACTTCTGGTTATATTTTTCTATTAAATGACTGTCCAGTTTACTGGTACACTGGTAAACAAGAACTGGTAGCCACTTCAACCACAGAAGCGGAATATGTTTGTTTATCCAAAGCTGCAAATAACCTTGTATGGTTTAATGATTTAATTTCAGATGTTTGGAAAAAACCTGTTTTGCCTTTTGTTATGCATGAAGACAATAAAGCAGCCATTGAAATATCTAGATCCGATGCCATTGGACAAAGATCCAGGCATATAGATATAAAATTTAAGCATGTGAGACAATTGTCTCAAGATGGATTTATCAAAGCAGTGCATTGTGATACCTCTGAACAATTAGCTGACATATTGACGAAGCCTTTACCTTCTAAACAGCACAAATACTTAACTTCCAAATTGTATGTCTTATATTGTCCTGAATCTGAATGTAATTGGTGTTGTATAGCGAACCGGCATTTAGAGGGGGATTTGTCAGATGTAAATGCCTTATTCCCTAATGTGTAAATAATGTATATATGGGATATCAGGGGTTAACTTATTCTTTGTCTCTTAATGTATTCATAATTCACCACTCCCACTCTTGGCTCCACCCTTTGTATATATAAGGAGCCACCTTCACCATTTTCTTTGCTTCTATCTGTGAATATTCAGTGAATATAGAATGCCAATTATAATTAAAGAGAAATATATTTAAACCTCTAACTCTTATTATTATTATTGAGTCTGATCCTGAAAATATTGCAACAGTGAAGATGTTATTTGATTATAAGCAGTGTATTTGTAGAGAATAAGATGAATAAGTTTATGCAAAGTTATTAAGTAAGGCATGTTCCCAGGAAGAATTAATATGAGTTTATGGGGTAAAAAGTACAAATAAGGTTTTTACAATATAGTTTATTTAAGATTGGTTAAAATATTTTGTCAATGGGTTAATATATGTAAGGGTTGGAGATGTGATGGTTAATTGTAATTGGGTGCTGATTGTGCAATGCTGGAAGAAAGAAGACTTGCGTATTCTTGAAGAACGGACAAGAATGAAGTTGGATTGATTATTTTCAAACAATAATTGGTTTAAATAGTTATATTCAGATATGAACAAGGGGAGTTAAAGTGTAAAAGGGAGATAAATCTATAGATAGTTAGCTTATGTTTTTTTTATATGTTTGTTAAATGCTATAGCCTGTATTTGCTCTGGGAAGTCGGGGGGGGGGGGGTGGGAGGGTTGGGCAGGAGGGGGGAGGAGGGAAGGGAAAATATGTGTAAAATTAAAAAAAAACTTTTTAATAAAAAAAAAGAAGTGGTTTGGAGTAGAAGGCCTCCAAGGCAGGGGTGAAATGCTACCAGTTTGGGCAGGTGAGCCCGAACCGATAGTAATAATTGCTACCTTTTGCCCAAACCGATAGTTTAAAAATGCTTTAAAAAGTACGACAATCAGCTGAACCAGGCAATATCGGAGCTTTTTTAAAACTTTTTTTTAGCATTTTTTTACTACCAATCAGCTGTGAGAAATCAGCTGTGCCTGATTGTCTATGAGGTTCCTGCTTGTTGCAGGGGCCATTTTGTGTGAAGTTCAGCCGCTTTTGCATTGCGTGTGAGTCAGTTGTGCAGCTTTTGTGTTATTTTTGTGCAAAGTGCAATAATTTCTTTTTGAGCCCTCTGTGATTCTGTGAGGTTCCTGCTTGTTGCAGGGGCCATTTTGTGTGAAGTCAAGCAGCTTTTGCATTGCGTGTGAGTCAGTTGTGCAGCCACGCCCACCCAGTCACATAACCACCAAGCCACGCCCACCCGGTCAACTGCCCACCAAGCCACGCCCACAGAACCGGTAGGGAAAATTTTTGAATTTCACCACTGCTCCAACTTCCAACTGGGTCATTCTGGGAAAAGCACCTTTGGGTTAATTTTGGAGACACGCTGCTCCTGGAAACCTCCCCCCCCTTGACCAGTTTTGGGGTCCCTGGCACTTCCGGTGGCGCAGAGGCCCTCCGTGAGGGACGGCCCACTGAACTCTCAGCCACGGAGGGTGCGGTGTGGCTTGCCAACTCCTCAGCAGATGTGGCAGGGGAACGGCCAACGTTTTACCTGCCTGGGCTTCCTTGGAAAGCAAACTTCGGGAGTGGACCAGGGTTTCCGTGCTTCGGAAGGCTTTCATTGCTGCAGAGAAGAAGCAGCAAAGGCCCAGGAGCAACGTAAGCTTCCTGCCATCAGATCAGTTGGCAACCCTGGCTCCTTCACAGGGAGATACCAACCCAGAGGAATATATGGGCGGTCCTCGACTTACGACACAAGTGAGCCCAACATTGCTGTTCTGAAGCAAGACAGTTGTTAAGTGGATTTCCCCCCATTTTACGAACTTTCTTGCCATGGTTGTTAAGTGAACCACTGCAGTTGTTGAGTTAGAAACAGTTGTTGAGGAAAGAAGGAAGGAAGGAAGGAAGGAAGGAAGGAAGGAAGGAAGGAAGGAAGGAAGGAAGGAAGGAAGGAAAGAATTAAGGGAGGGAGGGAAGGAGGGAAGGAGGGAAGAAAGGGAGGGAGGGATGGAGGGAAGAAAGGGAGGGAGGGGAGAGGGAGGGGAAGAGGATATGGGAATGACCTTTTAAAGATATTTTAGGACTTTTCTTGTCACATCTGTTAAGTGAATCACTGCAGCTCTCAATTTAGAAACATGGTTGTTAAGTGAATCTGGTTTCCCCACTGACTTTCCTTGTCAGAAGGTCGCAAATTGTGATCGCTTGACTTTGGGACACAGCAACGGTCATAAATCTGAACCAGTGGCCAAGCGTCTGATGCTGGGCTTTTTTTTTCTGGCAGCCAGCAAACACTCTGCTGCCCATTGGGAGACTAAGGAGACTATGATAGATCTATCACGGACCTATAAGTCCTCATCAGTTAGCCACACCCTCATCCCATGTATCCTCCCTTTTTTTCCCTTTCCTTTTCATAGGCTTTATGTGTATTTCTCTTTAGCCAGGTTCTTCCTACATAAACCAAGATTTTTATGGAACCCTAATTCAGTGAAATCACAATCCACTAGTTTCTAGGCTTTTTTTTTTTCTGGCAGCCAGCAAACACTCTGCTGCCCATTGGGAGACTAAGGAGACTAAGATAGATCTACTTTGGACTTATAAGTCCTCATCAGTTAGACACACCCTGTTTGTATTAAAACGGTTCATTTGGCCATCTGTTTTCTAATCCTTTCTTCCGTTGGTGGGGGGGATTTAATCTATCTGGATTGGCCGTCTCTTCGAAAATGGGGAAAGAATCTGATTTTTCCCCCAATCCATTTTTCCACCTGCACAGAAGCACCAGAGAGTTATGGAAGGCGCTGGCCGCAGACCCCTATGCTAACCTGAAGATCATGAAGCCCCTCCTCAAGGGGGATCAAGGATCAAGACCCCAGCACCAAAGCCATCGGGAGAAGAAACAGCAAGTCTACCATGCCCATTGCAGTAAGCCCTCAGCCCGCGGCTCTGCTTTCCTTAAATCTAGAGGTGGGCCAGGCCTGAGGGAAGGGGGAAGGGGCTGAGCAGAAGAGTCAGCCTCGGGGGGTCTCCTCATCAAGAGCAGGCATGCCCTGGTTGGTGGGAGGCAGTGGGCAAACTGGTGGGGGCTGAAATTATTTAATTCGTTTTTAATTCGTTTTAAATTTTTTGTATTTATGTGTTTTATCTTGTGGCTGTTCACCGCTCTGAGTCCTTCGGGAGAAGGGCAGTATAGAAATTTTTTTTAAAAAAAAATTGGAGCAAAATTTGGCATAAGCCCCCACCCCCCAAAATGCACCACTGAAAGTAGAGGCATCTGTGGGCTTCCTCGCCAGAACAGCTTTGATATTCATCCATCCATCCTTCCATCCTTCCATCTATCCATCCAGTCATTCATTCATCCATCGGTTCATCTATTCATTAATCCAGTCATTTATTTATTCATTTATCCATCTATTCCTTTGTTTATTCGTTCCTTTATTCATCCATTCACTCATGTATTTATTGATTCCTTCATTCATTTCTTATTTCTTACAGAAATAATTAAAAAAGAGGAGGGGAAACCAGTTTGTCGTGATTTGGTTGACTTTCGTCAGGAAAATATTTCAACAGGAGAGGAATTAGATGGACCGCCTCAATGCATGGATGTCCGCAGCAAGGTGCCTAAGGAGGAAATGAAGGGTCCGGAGAGTTTCCTTCGCTACACTCTTCTCTGGGTGACAAGCGCAGTTGATGACCGGCATGAAAACTGGCCCTGAGATGTTCTTCTGGAGGAAGCAGGGAAAGGAACGAGCAATCAAACACGGTCACTGGAGTTCTCTGAGTCTCGCAGCGATCATGACAAACACAAGAGAAGCCCACAGAGCATAGAAGAAGAGGGTTGAAAAGGAACTTGGAGGTCTTCCAGTCCAACCCCCTGCTCAAGCAGAAGACCCTAGACTCTGCTGGACAAATGGCTGCCTGGTCTCTTCTTGAAAAGCTCCAGTGATGGAGCAGCCACAACTTCTGGAGACAAGTCGTTCCAAGGATGAATTGTTCTCACAGTCAGGAAATTTCTCCTTAGTTCCAGGTTGTTTCTCTCCTTCATCAGTTCCCATCTGTTTCCTCTTGTTCTGCTTTGAGATCTTCTCCAAGAGGATCTACTTGATCCTTCAGATCTTCCAGGGGTGCACCCACCACTCTAGCTGAGTCCATCCTGTTCCTGGTGATTGTCTTCTTCTCCTTCTTCTGTCCTCCCCAGCCTTGAAGACTTCCCAGAGAGTGAGGCCACACCTGCTACTACCTTGGAAGCCACTCACTTCCTGCCCCCCATCTCTTACCTCCAAGGGGTGCTGAAGAACATATCCCAGTCCTCTCACGCTAAAGATCTGGATGAGAGGATACGGCTGAATCATCCATTCCAGGAGAACCTCGAGAATGTCTGGCGTCATAAAGAAGTCTCCAACCTCCGGGTGATACAGCAGCTGAGGAAGAAGAGTGGAGATACGGAGCATTAGCCAAGCCAAGGAACGGAACTGCCCCGAGAGCCTCGACTAAAGATGCCACTTTCAGCCCTTACGGGGAGAGAAAAAGAAAATACAGTCCTCGGTTAGTGACCACTGAAAGTCACAACGGCACTGACAAAAGGGATACGTCCATTTTTCAGAATTATGACCATTGTAGCATCCTCATGGTCATGTGATCAAAATTTGGGTACTTGCGGGTCCATATTTATGACGGTCGCAGTGTTTCGAGGTTACGTGATCCCTTTTGTGACCATCTGATAGGCCAAGTCAATGGGGAAACCAGATTCACTAATTCATCAGATTGACCACCGTAAGAACTGCACTGCAGCGATTCACTTAACAACTGTGGCAAGGAAGGTCAAACAATGAGGCAAAACTTGCTTAAGAACTTTCGCTTAGCAACAGAAATTTGGGGCTCAGTTGTGGTCATATATCGAGGACAACTTTTAGACGGAAATCACTGAAAGATCTGGTTTATCCTAAGTATTCGACCACGGCATTGGCTTAAGGACTGCTGCGATCACTTAGTGACCACTGGAGGTTCTATGACAGTCATATGTCGAGGACTAGAGTATGGCAAAAGGTAATGTAAATGATAGTTGTAAGAACACAAAACTGCCTATAATGCAAAGAGTAAAAGGAAATTGTGGTCATTGAGTCTTCCTTCCTTCCTCCCTCCCTCCCTCCCTCCCTTCTTTTCCCTCCCTCCCTCCCTTCTTTTCCCTCCCTCCCTCCCTCCCTTCTTTTCCCTCCCTCCCTCCCTCCCTCCCTTCTTTTCCCTCCCTCCCACCTTCCCCACCAACAACTTCTGGAGGGAAGCCCTTCCACCGATTAACAGACTAGCAGAAGACCTTGGAGACCCCCTGCTCAAGCAGCAGACCCTCTACAACAGGCACCCTCAAACTACGGCCCACGGGCAAAGAATACGGCCCGCGGAGTGGTGTGATTAAGCCCCGCCCCTTGCCCCGCCCCTAACTGCCTTATCTCCCAGCGAGCCAGCTGCAAGGCCAGCTGAGGGCCAGCTGAGGGGTGATCTCGCCGGTGCAGCCTGGAAAAGCAGCTCTGGGCTTGTAAAGAACTCCTTCAAATTAAAAGTCTTTAAAACAATTTAAACGGGGGCTTAGGAGGAGAAAGGCAAAAAAAATGAATCGGCCCCCTGTTTAAAACGTTGGAGGACCCCTGCTCTACAACCTCAGACCAATGGCTGTCCAGAATATTGGGGTGCATCCCAAGGTCTCCTCACCTCCGAGAAGAAAACCTTCCCGATGGTCTTCTCTCTTAGATCGGGACGGGGCAGGTAGGTGTTGGCCTCTCTGAACATCACCTTCAGCCCCAGTTTAGAGAAGCTGACTAAATTCCCAAAAGAGCAAATATGGAGAGCTCAGACGAGATCTGCTGGTTAGGGAGAAGAAAATCACCAAGCTAGAGAAATCATGATGTGAATTCAATTACTCAATGAATTACTCCATTTAGAGAATTTCTCACCCTCCCTCTCTTTCTCTCTCTTTCTCTCCCTCCCTCTCCCCCTCCCTCTCCCTCTCTCTCCCTCTCTCTCTTCCCTCTCCCTCTCTCTCCCTCTCTTCTCTTTCTCCCTCTCCCTCCCTCTCCTCTTCCTCTCTCTCCCTCTCCCAGTTCCTCTCTTTCTCTCTCCCTCTCCCCACTCTCTCTAGCTTTCTCTCTCTCTCTGCCTTTTCTTCTTCCTCTCCCTCTCCCCTCCCCTCCCTCTCCCACCCGCTGCCACTTGTAGCCAACCTCTTTTGTCTTTTAATTTCTTACAGGACCAGGAAGAAAATGGCTTCGAACAAACCATCAGGAGTCACCCTCATGTCCCAGCATCTAACCTTCTCCAACTGACTGAACTCCTCCTGATAGCCGGCACATAATATTAAATTTTTGATGGCTTGCACTGCATTGCTAAATCATGAGGTTCATGAGGACTTCCTTGACGGGTCTGCCTTTTAGCGGCTTCTTGCTCTCCCACAAATTTTGGAAACATTCGTCAGAGAGTTCTGAGAAGAAGAGACAGACAGAGATTGATGGGCAATTTGATGGGACAAGTCTTCTCAAAGCGAAGAGAGAAAAAAATGTGCTTAGACCAGACTGATCCTGAGGGAAGGGTCAAACGTGTCATAACTCTCGAGTCCCTGATCTTCATGTTCTTAGACAACCGTCTTGAGGAGGAACTTTGAACTCCATATATGGAATTGGAATTTTTTCCAATTCCATATATGGCGGAGGGGGTCAACTTATTTTCCAAAGCAGCAGAAGGCAGGAAGAGAAGCAACGGATGGAAGCTACTCATGGAGAGAAGCAGCCTGGAATTAAGGAGAAACTTCCTAACAGTGAGGACAATCAACCAGTGGAACTTCTTGCCACCAGAAGTTGTGAGTGCTTCATCACTGGAGGCTTTTAAGAAGAGACTGGATAGGCATTTGTCTGGGATTGTGTAGCATCTCCTTCTTGAGCAGGAGGTTGGACTAGAAGACCTTCAAGGTCCCTTCTGGCTGTGTTCTGATAGATAGATTGATTGGTAGTGTGGGATGGGCTGATGTGATGGGACAAGGTGGTTCCATAGGTAGCCCAGCCCTGTAGCGCCTATACCTGGATATGAAGGCAGGACGGTGTCTGGTGAGCGTTTACTCCCCCGAGGCCTTTCCCTCTTGGGCCTCCTTGGAAAGGGAGGGGGCTCTTTCAGGCCAGGCTTCATCTCCCCCTGAGAAGCCTTCAGAGGGGTCCTGGCAGATGTCCTGCGCACCAAATCAGGTAGCACCAGCGCTGGAGGCTGAACCTTCTTCCTGACCTCCAATTGAACTAGGGAAGACATCACAATCAGAGGCAAGGCCTCCATGGTTCTTTGACTGGCTAAAGAACCAGATGGGTGGGAGCCAGAGAAGAGGACTTCCTGATTGTCCCACTGACACAGGTCATTGTTGCTGATTTGTAACTCTGACTCCTTGCTGTCCTTCTTCAGGAAGGGAAGCTTTTTCAGCCTATGATCCATCCTGTTGTGAAGAGTGAGTGTTGGAACTGGAGTAGAGTAGAGAGTAGAGTAGAGTAGAGTAGAGTAGAGTAGAGTAGAGTAGAGTAGAGTAGAGTAGAATAGAATAGAATAGAATAGAATAGAATAGAATAGAATAGAATAGAATAGAATAGAATAGAATAGAATAGAATAGAATGAGCTGGAAGGGATCTTGGAGGGCTTCTGTTCCAGCCCCCTGTTCAAGCAGGAGAACCTATAGCATTTCGGATAAGTGGCTGTCTAGTTTCCACTCTAGGGATTCACTTAACAACGGTGGCAAGAAAGGTTGTAAAATGGGGCAAAACTCACTTAAGGACCGTCTCGCTTAGCAACCTCAATTTTGGCCTAGATTGTGATGGCAAGTCAAGGGTTGCCTGCGTTTCAGTTTCCTTGCAGACCATCCAGAGTCTCTTCCTTTGTGAGATGGACAATCCTTTCACTTAGATGAAGAAAGAAAGAAAGTTTGTTTTGAAGGGGGGGGGCGATTTTGGTGATTCAATGCAGCTTCTGGTTTCAGAGCTGAGTTTGCTCCAGTTGCTTTAAACACCGGCAGCTCTTTAAATTTCGAGTTTCTTGGCCTCTTCAGCTTTGAACAACCTTCATGGCATCAGATCTCCCTACCGTCAGTTTTGCACCTAACCATTCCTTCTTTCTCACGGGGTTACACGGCACATCAAGGTGTCTGCGCTTTCTCCAGAGATTTGAGCTGCCATTCACTTGCTGAACGTTTTCTGGATTGGACACAAATAGTTTCTTTACTGGAAGAGACTTTAGACATGAAATAAACTCTAATAAGTCAAACAACAATATGAGAGCGTGTTATGTTCAGGGTCCCAGCGTCTGTGAGAAATATACCCTATTAATAATGTCTTTGTGTATTTTGAATGCCTTCACTGAACATAACTATCTGCTGTTTCCACGAGTCACAGCTATTGTCTTAATCAGTTGAACTTTGAACTGAGTAGAATTCTCCAATTATTTCAGAATAAGAGAGTTGGAAGGGACCTTGGAGGCCTTCTAGTCCAACCCCTAGCTCAGGCAGGTGACCCTACAATCATCTCAGACCAATCTCTTCTGAAAAGCTTCCAGTGATGGAGTTTCAACTTCAGCTTCAACTTCTGGAGGCAAGTTGTCCCACTGGGTGAATGTTCTAACGGTCAGGAAATCTCTCCTTAGTTCTAGGTTGCTTCTCTCCTTGATGAGTTTCCACTCGTTGCTTCTTCTCCCGCCCCCTTCTTCTTTGGGGCAGCCCCTGAGATATTGGAAGACTGCTATCCTGTCTCCCCTAGTCCTTCTCTTCATCAAACTAGACATAGCCGCCCTGAGTCTTCGGAGAGGGGCGGCATATAAATTCAATTGATTAAATTAAATTAAATTAAATTAAATTAAATTAAATTAAATTACCCAGTTCCTGCAACCGTTCTTCATATGTTTTCGCCTCCAGTGGTATTAAGACTTCACGGGCTCTTGATTCTCTCCCTCTGTTTACGCAGCCCAGAACTGTGTTGGCTTTTTTGGCAGCTGCTGCACACGGCTGGCTCCTATCTAAATGGTTGTCCACTAGAACTCCAAGACCCCTCTCACAGTCACCACTATTGAGCAAGGGACCACATCTACGGTACCTGTGCATTTGGTTTTTCTTCCCTAAAAGTAGAACCTTGCTCTTTTCACTCTTGAATTTCATTTTGTTAGATAGCGCCCAATGTTCAAGATCTGTCAAGATCCTTCCGTATCTTGAGCCTATCTGCTGGAGTGTTGGCTGTTCCTGCCAGCTTGGTGTCATCTGCAAATCTGATGAGTTCCCCATCTCTCCCCTCCCCACCTCTCCCACCAAGCCATCAGTGACCGTCTGATAGGCCAAGTCAATGGGGAAACCGGATTCACTTAAGAACCGCGTGACTAACTTAACAACTGCAGGTCGTACAGTGGGGCAAAACTTGCTGAAGAACTGTTTCGCTTAGCAGCAGAAATTTGGGGTTCAGTTGTGGTCGTAAGACGAGGACAATCTATAGAAGGAAATCACTGAAAGATCTTGTTTATCCTAAGTATTCGACCACGGCATTGGCTTAAGGACTGCTGCGATCACTTAGTGACCACTGGAGGTTCTATGACGGTCATATGTCGAGGACTATACTATGGGAAAAGGTAGTGTAAATGACAGTTGTAAAAATACAAAACTGCCTATAATGCAAAGAGTAAAAGGAATTTGGGGTCATTGAGTCTTCCTTCCTCCCTTCCTCTCATCCGCCCTCCCTCCCTCTGCTTCCTTCCTTCCTTCCTTCCTTCCTTTGTTCCTCCCTTCCTTCCTTCCTTCCTTCCTTCCTTCTTTCCATCCTTCCTTCCTCCCTCCCTCTGCTTCCCTCCTTTCTTCCTCCCTTCCTCCCTCCCTTTGCTTCCTTCCTTCCTTCCATCCTTCCTTCCTTCCTTCCTTCCTTCCTCCCTTCCTTTCTTCCTCCTCCCTCCTCCTCCCTCCCTCCCTCCCTCCATCCCTCCCCATCAACAACTTCTGGAGGGAAGCCCTTCCACCGATTAACAGACTAGCAGAAGACCTTGGAGACCCCCTGCTCAAGCAGCAGACCCTCTACAACAGGCACCCTCAAACTACGGCCCACGGGCAAAGAATACGGCCCGCGGAGTGGTGTGATTAAGCCCCGCCCCTTGCCCCGCCCCTAACTGCCTTATCTCCCAGCGAGCCAGCTGCAAGGCCAGCTGAGGGCCAGCTGAGGGGTGATCTCGCCGGTGCAGCCTGGAAAAGCAGCTCTGGGCTTGTAAAGAACTCCTTCAAATTAAAAGTCTTTAAAAACAATTTAAACGGGGGCTTAGGAAGGAGAAAGGCAAAAAAAATGAATCGGCCCCCTCTTTAAAACGTTGGAGGACCCCTGCTCTACAACCTCAGACCAATGGCTGTCCAGAATATTGGGGTGCATCCCAAGGTCTCCTCACCTCCGAGAAGAAAACCTTCCCGATGGTCTTCTCTCTTAGATCGGGACGGGGCAGGTAGGTGTTGGCCTCTCTGAACATCACCTTCAGCTCCAGTTTAGAGAAGCTGACTAAATTCCCAAAAGAGCAAATATGGAGAGCTCAGACGAGATCTGCTGGTTAGGGAGAAGAAAATCACCAAGCTAGAGAAATCATGATCTGAATTCAATTACTCAATGAATTACTCCATTTAGAGAATTCCTCAACCTCCCTCTCGCCTCCCACTCTCTCTCACCCTCCCTCTCTCTTTTTCACTCTTCCCTTCCCTCCCTTTCTTCCCCTCTAACCTTTCCTCTCCCTCACTTTCGCCTTCTTTGTCTCCCTCCCTCCTTCTTTCTCTCCCTCTCCCCTCCCTCTCATCTCTCTCTCACCTGCTCTCTCACACACACCTTCTCTTCTCTCTCTCTCTCCCCTCCCCTCTCCCTCTCTCCCTCCATCTCTCTATTTCTCTATCTTCTCCCCCCCCCTCTCTTTCTCCCATAAAGATGGCCTGGGTACTATCTACAAAGTTCTAATTTTATCAAAATGTTTAGAAAGTTCAGCAACAACGGTGTTGTGCTGATCTGAAACAGTGTGTAAACTTGCAGATGATCCTTGAGCCCTTCTAGAGAGCTGGAGAAGTGCCAGAGGAGGTGGAAGAGAAGGAAGGTTGCCCCTCTCTTCATCTTCACCAAACCAGGTGTCTGCCTAGAAAATCTACAACACCACACAGCCTATCTAGCAAAATGCCCTAGATTGGTCATCTAGATTGGTGTTGCTTGATCTCAGACACTTTAAGATGTGTGGACTTCAACACTTCTGGCCTGAGAAGTCCAGAAGGAGCTGCTAAGATTGAACAACTCTGGTCTAGATCAGGATTTCTCAACCTTGGCAACTTTAAGAGGTGAGGACTTCAACTCCCAGAACTCTCCAGCCAGCATACTGGAGTTGGGGTCCCCATCTTTGGGGCAACCATGACCTGGATGATTGACCATCTCCATGGACATTGAACTGGGAATAGGTGTGCTCTGAACTTGTGTGTTCTCCTGCAAACTTCAAGAAACTTCTGCATGGCTATTCTGCTATTGGAGGGACTAACCTGTCTCTCTTCCTTCGTAGGACGACATCGAACTGAGGAATACCTCCATCACCATTTTTGGCATGCTCCTGAAAGGACTGAAGGAGTTACGGAACAGTAATATGGCCGAAAACATCCTGAACAGCCTTATTCCCCTCCTCATACAACTGTCAAATGATCGGACAAAAGAGGTGAGTTGAAGGGCTGGCTAAGCTGAGCTCCTGCTCTGATCATGCTACCTTCACAGAGACCACTCTGTACCCCCATCTTCACTCAGAGCAACGTGGTTGTACCACGTGGACACTCTGGAGAATGCAAAGACATTGTAGACAATCCTGAAGTTGTGGGGTCCTTGGTGCTCCCTGAACTTGGTTGTTTCCTTGAAGACCTTTCCTGACCCAACTAGGTGACAGGATCTCCCTCTTTCCTCCCTCGGCCAGGTCTCCAGGAAGACCCTCGACTCCTGCGTGTCCTTTATGAACTGGGGGGGCTTTCCCAGCAACTTGTTTGACTATGAAATGTATACCAGTCTTCATAGCATGTACTCCAACATCTGCTACATGGTTGTAAGTAGGAGCCAAGCTGGCCTGTTTTCTTCCAGATTAGAGTAAACTAACCGTTTATTTCTTTATTTTGCCCTGCCTTTCTTATTTTGATAAATAGTTCAAGACGGTGGGCATCCCTAATACTTCTTCTTTTCTTCACAACAACCCTGTGAGGTGGGTTGCCCTGAGAGAGAGGGACTGCACCAAAGTCACCCAGCTGGCCATCGTGACTAAGGAGGGACTAGAACTCCCAAAGTCACCCAGCTGGCTTTGACCAAGAAAGCAGCCCCTTGGTTAAAAAAAAAAAAAGGAAGCTCTATAGTTCATTGGCTTCTTTGTTGCCTTGTTTTCCCCAGATGAATAAATGCAAGCAAAACCTTCCTGCGATGTTGGATCAGATGCTGGGATTCCTGAGGAGCCGGAACTCTTCCCATCGCGAGGCAGCTGCCCTCTTAATTGGTAATCACCAATGCCAACTCTGGAAGGAGGGCAGGACAACCCAAGACAGGCGGGCGGCCTTGTCACCAAAAGGATCTATGCAGAATTAAGCCATGTCGCTTAATCAGACTGGAAGCTGCTCTTATACCGTGTGGCTTCTCCGGAACGGCTACGATCGCGCAACAGTTTCTCAGGCAGTTCCTGCCCTCTTTCTTAAGGGTATCGCTGCCGTTGTTAAGTTAGCCACATGGTTGTTAAGTGAATCTGGCTTCCTCCCGGATTTGGCTCATCCGAAGATCGCAAAAAGTGATCTTTGACCCCCAAGACACTGTAAGCGTCATAAATACGAGTCGGTTTGCCAAGCATCCGGATTTTGATCTTGATGTGGCAACGCTTCCAAGTGTGAAAAGCAGTCGTAAGTTCCTTTTTTCAGTGCCATTGTAACTTTGAATGGTCACTAAATGAACTGTTAGAAGTCGAGGACTACCTGGCCTGTATCCCTCTGTCTTGTATAGGCAAACCCACAGCCGTGGCTTTTTCTCTGGAAATATTTCCAGCTGGCCTCCCATTCTAGTATTAACTGGATTCAAGGCTGCTTAGATTTTTTTCCAAGATGATGGTTGTTTGCACAGTCCTAGAACATAAAGTAATAGAGTTGGAAGGGACCTTAGAGGTCTTCTAGTCCAACCCCCTGCTAAAGCAGGAGACCCGATTCCATTTCAGAGCAGTGGCTGTCCAATCTCTTCTTTAATCTCTTCTTGAAAGCCTCCAGTGAGGCCTGGAGACAAAAACAGAGGAAGAACGGCTACCCCTCGTCCTTCTTATTATTAGACAGACCCAATCCCTGGAACCATCCCGTAAAGTCCCAAAGCGACTCTTCCAAGTGGAAACCAATGAATTGCGCGTTTTTTTCCTGAATCAGTCGATTTAGCCGTCTCTGTTAACCCCACCAACGTTTTCTTTTTACGTGCCCAGGCTGCTGCGCGCAATACATGCAACGGGAAGTGATGACTTCAAAACAAATGAAAGAAGTTTTCCTGGGTGAGTTTCAAAGTTCCCTCGCTTGAAACAAGGAGTTTTTCTCCAGAAGCTCTGTCGCTGATCAGGGCTGGTTCTCACGGTTGATCCCGGAAATCCTTTGTTTTCTGGATTCGTTTCAGGTCTCCAGGATCTGCAAGGCGATTCCGAAGCCTCAGTGGCTCAGGCTGCAGCTGACTCAATGCAAGAAATCTTTCGGCAGTGTGGCCATCTGATCAAGCCGGGTCTTGTTAGTAGTCAACTCCCCTCCAAAGGCATCAGGAGGATCTCCGAGACCAAGCAATAATAGTTTCATAGTTTCATAGTTTCCATTATTGTCATGGCACCTCATAGAATGAAATTAAGTGCCATCCTCACTGTATATTATACTTTTTAAAAACCCTATAAAAATAAAACAAAAACACACTTCCTTCACATTGTATGCAATTGAATTAAAAAACCCTCGTATTGTATTCATATTGCACTGTACGTAGAATTGTATAGTTACTGCTCTGGGATAGAAGCTGTTTTTCAGCCTATTTGTCCTTGTTTTTATTGTCCTGTACCGTCTGCCAGATGGTAATAGTTCAAAAAGAGGGGGGCCCAGGGTGAAATGGATCCTTAAGGATGTTTTGAACTTTCTAAAGCCAGCGGGAGCTATAAAGCTCTTCCAAAGTGGGGAAGGGGCAACCCATGACCCTCTGGGCACCTGCCTTCCAGCTGGTCTTTGGGGAAAGCGAGGAAGCATGAAGATAATTCTTACATCGCGAAGGACCACGAAGGAACGTCGCAGAAACAAGACCTGGCAGGGAGATTGTGGAAACAGGCCCTGGAGATAGACAGAACAATTAAATGTCAGTGCTTTGGAGAATAATTGGACCCCCTCTTCTTTGGGGTAGCCCCTCAAATACTGCGAAACTGCTATCATGTCGCCCCTAATTCTTCTTTTCTTTAGAAAAGAATAGCGTCTAATTATGGTAGATGCCCCAAAGTGGAGAAAGGCAGACCAAAAAGGCATAGAAATATCAGGACAGGTAGTTCTCAACTTATAACCGGTCATTTAGTGTCCGTTCGAAGCTACAATAGCACTGAAGAAAGTGTTTCACATCCCTTTTTCACACTGATGACCGTTGAAACATGTTGGTCCTCAACTTGCGACCACAATTGAGGCCAAAGTTTCTGTTGCTAAGTGAGACATTTTTAAGTGAGTTTTGTCCCATTTTACGAACCATTCTTGCCACCATTGTTAGGTGAATCTCTGCAGTTGTTAAATCAGCAACAAGGTTGTTAAGTGAATTGGCTTTGCTGGTCAGACAGTCGCAAAAGGGGATCATGTGACCCCGGGACACTGCAACCGTCGTAAATGTGAATCAGTGGCCAAGTGTCTGGATCTGGATTGTGTGACCTTGGGAAATGCAGTGGAAAACGGTCCTAACTCACTTTTTTCAGTGCCATTGTAACTTTGAATGGTCACTAAATGAACTGTTGTAAATCGAGGACTACCTTACCCCAAGGCTTTCCTTTCTTTTCGTTCTCCACTTTCCGTTTCCTTTCTTTTCGTTCTCCACTTTCTGCCAAGTCTTTCCAAATTCTTCCAGCAGATGGTGGCATAATCTTACGAGTCTTCCCTCAGCCAAGTTCTGTAAAAAAATACTAACCAGAATTTGATTTTGCAATGTTGGAATTTCCCGATATATACGGCATACCTTGTTTGGACTTTCTGAACATTTCCCGGTCAGTTTCTCAGCATGATCGGTTTTTCTTCGCCTCCTTCCAGATTTCTTTCTTTCTTTTTTAAAATCTACCTCTTCCCCTACTTCCTGGTTGTTGGTCTCTCAGCCCCTGAAGACTTCCTGACCAGGCTGTGATTTTAGAAGGCCAGAAAAAGGCAGATGGGTGCTGCCATCTGCTGAAAAAGAGACCACTTGGAAACCAAATTATATTTCAGAAAAACTGCTCGGAAGAGGAATGTTGGGAGTGCCTCCTAGGAGAATTCCGACATCAGTTTAGGAGACATAATAGGAAGCGTGCCTTCAATTTCTCCCTAATTCCTTCTCTGTCGGTGCTAACGAAAGACAAAGAGAAGGAAGTGAAAGGTTAATGTTGATTGAATGAAGGCCAATCTATGCGTCCCAGGATAATGTCTATGGAGACTCTCAGTCATCCAAGTCACGGTTGTCCCAAAGGTGCCTTTTCAAGAGGCAACTGGACACTCTCGGTTTTTCTTGGAAGGCGTTTTGCTTCTCATCCAAGAGAGCTGAAGAAGCTTCTTGGATGAGAAGCGAAATGTCTTCAAAGGAAAAACAAAGTCCGGTTGCCTCTGGAAAAAACCCCTTTGGGAGTCCCAGGATAATGTTGCAAGGTCCGATCTGGTTCCGTCTTCTGAGTTTTTGGACCTGTGCTGGAATCCATCTTCAGTAACTTCTCCCTACCGGAATATGGGCAATTCTATGCTTCATTTTTATGTGGTGCCTTCCTATTGAGTGGTGTGATGATGGCCGGCGATTGGCTGTTGCCAAGCCCTCGGCTCCTAAGTACCTGATAAGCTGGTGGTAAATCAGCCCTCCAATTGACTGGAAGGGACCTTGGAGGTCTTCTAGTCCAGCCCGTTGGTCAAGCGCAGGAGAACCTACACCATTTCCGATAACTGACTGTCTGGTCTCTCCTTATCATCAAGGAGAGAAGCAACCGAGAACTAAGGAGAGATTTCCTGACCGTTAGAACATTCACCCAGTGGGACAACTTGCCTCCAGAAGTTGAAGCTGAAGTTGAAACTCCATCACTGGAAGCTTTTCAGAAGAGATTGGTCTGAGATGATTATAGGGTCACCTGCCTGAGCTAGGGGTTGGACTAGAAGACCTCCAAGGTCCCTTCCAACTCTCTTATTCTGAAATAATTGGAGAATTCTACTCAGTTCAAAGTTCAACTGATTAAGACAATAGCTGTGACTCGTGGAAACAGCAGATAGTTAAGTTCAGTGAAGGCATTCAAAATACACAAAGACATTATTAATAGGGTATATTTCTCACAGACGCTGGGACCCTGAACATAACACGCTCTCATATTGTTGTTTGACTTATTAGAGTTTATTTCATGTCTAAAGTCTCTTCCAGTAATGAAACTATTTGTGTCCAATCCAGAAAACGTTCAGCAAGTGAATGGCAGCTCAAATCTCTGGAGAAAGCGCAGACACCTTGATGTGCCGTGTAACCCCGTGAGAAAGAAGGAATGGTTAGGTGCAAAACTGACGGTAGGGAGATCTGATGCCATGAAGGTTGTTCAAAGCTGAAGAGGCCAAGAAACTTGAAATTTAAAGAGCTGCCGGTGTTTAAAGCAACTGGAGCAAACTCAGCTCTGAAACCAGAAGCTGCATTGAATCACCAAAATCGCCCCCCCCCTTCAAAACAAACTTTCTTTCTTTCTTCATCTAAGTGAAAGGATTGTCCATCTCACAAAGGAAGAGATTCTGGATGGTCTGCAAGGAAACTGAAACGCAGGCAACCCTTGACTTGCCATCACAATCTAGGCCAAAATTGAGGTTGCTAAGCGAGACGGTCCTTAAGTGAGTTTTGCCCCATTTTACAACCTTTCTTGCCACCGTTGTTAAGTGAATCCCTAGAGTGGAAACTAGACAGCCACTTATCCGAAATGCTATAGGTTCTCCTGCTTGAACAGGGGGCTGGAACAGAAGACCTCCAAGATCCCTTCCAGCTCATTCTATCTGTTCTGTTCTGTTCTGTTCTGTTCTGTTCTGTTCTGTTCTGTTCTGTTCTGTTCTATCCTATCCTATCCTATCCTATCCTATCCTATCCTATAAGTTAGTCACAAGGTTGGGAACTGAATCTGGCTTCCTCATCGTCTTTGCTGTTCAGAAAGTCAGAAAAGGGGGTCATGTGACCTCGGGACACTGCAACCGTCATAAGTACATGCCAGTTGCCAAGCCTCTTGAGCTGAATTGTGGCTGTACGTCTAGGTAGCCCAGCCCCAGAGACGAGGCAGGCCCCCAACCTCCTGACCTTCCCCAAAAGCATGAAGACTCAACTCTGCCAGCTATCTGGGGGCCCAAGGGGACCCTGCAAGCCATGGAGGGGTTGGTGGGCCGAAGGAGCTTCCTCTCCTTTCGACTCTGCAATTGTCCCTTTTACCTTTTTTTTTTTTTAAAAAAAAACTCTTTGGTTTTTTCACAAAAACTTTGTTTTCAACTGCAGCTTTTATATCATTGGAGAGTTTTACCAAAACGAGCTGCACTGGCTCCCAGTGGTCTTCCGGGTGCGATTCAAGGTGTTGGTTATCACCTTTAAAGCCCTGTGGAATGAACTGCCCCCAGAAATACGGAAGATCTCCGACCTCCGGGTGTTTCGTTGCGCATTGAAGACCCTGTTGTTCCATCAGGCCGGCCTATCAACATAATAATTTTAATTGGGGTATTTTAAATTTTTGGGGTTTTAATCCGGCCAAATTTATTTAATTATTTTCATTTTTAATCATTGTTGTGTCCTGTGCTTTTTAAATTGGCTGTACACCGCCCTGAGTCCTTCGGGAGAAGGGCGGTATAGAAATAAAATTATTATTATTATTATTATTATTATTATTATTATTATTATTATTATTTCATAGCAGCTTCATCATCAAACTGAATACGTTACAATATCTTGCTTAAATACTCTCACAACCAGTGATTACCTAATTACAGCATGATTCAGCATTACAATGAATACCTTTAAGGTAACATGATACATTTACAGATTAAAGTTACAGTACATACATATTGCCTGGACAATTAGTTAGGCTCAAACCATATCCTAACAAAATTCCATGTCTAAAAATGGTGTTGCTTCCACTTTTTAAAAATCGAGCCTTTTTGGTGCCTGGGAAGAAAACGCGTGACTCCGCGGTCAGGAAAATGCTGCCCAGGAAAAAAAATGTTTTTTGAAGCCAAATTTGTTTTTTTAAACCAAATGCAAAATCAGACCCCAGGATGAGTATCAGGATGAAATTCCATGTCTAAAAATGGTGTTGCTTCCACTTTTTAAAAATCGAGCCTTTTTGGTGCCTGGGTTAGAAAACGTGTGACTCTGCGGTCAGAAAAATGCTGCCCAGGAAGCAAAATGTTTTTTGAAGTCAATTTTTTTCTTTAAACCTAATGCAAAAACGGACACCAGGATGTGTTTCATTACCTGTGTCAAAAGTTAAGTTTTGTGGCTGAATTAAGCCCTACCGCCTATTCTGAGATAAAGGTTGGTCTATCTCTTGAGGGAAAGCTCGTATCTGAACATTGTGTTTTGGACTTTCTACACCTTGGGACATGAATATGTGTTTCTTTTTCAATCTGAGCTCTGTGTTCACAGTGAAGTTTTCTGGCTGAATTGAGTCCTACTGCCAATTCTGTGATCCAGCTTTGTATAACTCCTCAGGGAAAGCTCAAATCTGAAAATTGTGTGTGTTTTGGAAATTATAGACTTTTGGAAACATA